AATTGAAATCTCCAGCCAATATCAAATGGTCTTTTTTAAAATAAATCAATTTTTTTCAATACACCTTTCAGAAATATCTTAGGCCTCTTATTTGGGCAATAAATATTAGCTACTGTACACTCAATTTCTTGTAGTTTACCTTTTTAAAAAAAAAAATCTCCCTTCAGGATCTGTCTTTCTGTCCTCCAACTCAAACCTTATATTCTTTGCAAACCCTATTGCTACTCCCTTTGCTCTCTTAATTGGGGAATCTGCGTAGTACCACGTTGGATAATGTCTAGAATTCAACTTAACATTTGACTCTGTCTCAAAATGTGTCTCCTGCAAGAAAACCACTGAAGATACTCTATGTTGTAGCTCTTTAAATAACCTAAATCTTTTCTTAGGACAATTCAACCCATTTACACTATAAGTTATAAACTGTATTTCTTCCATTATTCTTATATCTTCCTCTCTCTTTTCTTTTATAACTTCTCCCCTTAATGCAGAGTGTTAGCCTTAATACCTCTCCCCCGCCACCTCCCACCCACCTTCCTATACTACCCATCTCCCAATCCATTCCCTCCCACCCCCACCCATGTCCCCCCCCTTTTACTACCCTTCCCATTTTTAGGCTTCTAATTTGCCTACTAATCATTTGTGGGCCTAGTCCCACCTTTGATTTAAACTTTGGGGATAAACTCCACCCATGAACGGCTCTCCCTCCTTCCAACCTCCCCAATTACCCTCTATCTATCTAATTAACTCAATAAGTTTCCACCAACTCTTAAAAACGGAAATCTAGAGGAGATCCCATAAAGAGGAAGAAAAAAAAAACCCTCCTCCTCCTTACTTCCCCCCTCTAACAAACTGCCAGTCCTCTTTTCCGATAACTCCTATTTCTCTTTCTTCTTCTTCCCATCCAGAAATCTCTATTCTTTGCAAATCAAGTCTATCACAGAAGTCTCTCAAATCCTCTGGAAATTTCAGATAAGCTGTAACTCCATTCGTCCACCCAATTAGGCACGCTGGGGTACCCCATCTATAATGCACGTTCTGTTTTCTCATCTGCTCTAACAGGGATTTCAAAGATCTCCTTATCCACAAAGTCTCAGGTGTTAAATCCGCAAAAATATGAATATCTATTTCTCCATACTTAATAATTGTTCTTCCTTTTGATCTTCCTCCAAATCTCTCCTTTATCCCCATACTTATGGAATTGAACAATTATGTCTTGGTTTTTCCTTCCCATTGCCTTGTTGAAACTTTCCTATTCTAAAGACTCCATCCAATTTAACCAACTCTGTATTAGGTCTGTCCATTATGGAGTTTTAAGATTTTACAGACTAATTCTTGTACTTCTTCCCCTTTTGAAATCTCTGGGACTCCTCGTATCCTAAGATTACTCCTCCTGTCCCTGTTTTCTTGTACCTCTATCTTATAATGCAATTTTTTCTGAACTTTCTCAATATTAGTTGCCCTTTTTTCTAATTCGGAAATGTTTTGGGCATGATTTTTAACTTTTTCCTCCGTTTCTTCCACTCTCAATAACAACTGCTCCAGATCTTTTCATATGATTTCCATTTCTTGCTTTATTGTTTATTTAAAATTTTTGAACATTTCTGCCATCTCTTTTTTATTCGGTACTTGTAGTTCACTTTCGGGTTCTTTCATCTCCATATTTTCTATCATTTGTTGACTACTGCTATTCATTCCCAGAGATAGTCTAGGGCTATTTTCCAAGCTAATTTCCATTTCACCTTTTTCGCTTACACCTTGGGACCTTTCTGGGGTCACATTTCCCTGGGACGTATATTTTTTGACCGTACCAGTTTGGGACCCTTTGAGCCCACTTCCTTTAGCGCCTTTGTTCTTCATATCTTCTGTGAAACTTGTTCTCTTCTAAAAACCCAGGGTAAGTATTAAGAATATATACTAGGAACCCAGACTTGATCTACTATTTGTCCATTTACACTTTTATTTCCACTTCTAGGGTCAATTAATCCCTTTTCCTCTTCCACACCTTCATATCCCCTGGGAATCCCCCTTTTCTCCTTTACACAATGTTTATTTATAAAACACAGTCCAATATGAAGCTAGCCTAGGCCATTCTCACTCACCCTCCTCTCTCTTGGTTCTCCTGTAAGGCTGCTCCAGGCTGCAGTTGCCAGATATTCCTCGTCAGTTCTATTTCTTGGGGGGATTCCTCCAGGGTCTCTTCTTGTCTTTCATGGCCATCTATAGGACTCCAGCAGAAAACCAAACTAGGTCTCAAGCCGGGAAATGAGCCAGGGAACGGACCGGCGTCTCCCTCTCCCTTCGGGACGCCGGCCAGCTTCTCCTGCTCCCAGAGCTCCTTCGCGGCTGACCACGTGGCCACGCCGTGTCACTCAGTCTCCCCGGCAACCTGCTGCTCTGTCCTGGATCCCCGCCGCCGCGTCTTAGGAAACCCGGGACTCGCTCTCTCTCGTTCCCCATTCACAGAGCCGGCATTCCTCCCCACCGAGATCCCCCTCACACAGGTAGGTCCCTGGTATCTTCCACTAGGAGGGCACTTGGGGTGGCTGGAAAGCGGAGTCTGTTGGACAGCACTTACATCATGCTGTCCTACACCGCCATGTTCAGGCTCCGCCCTCCATATGGCTCGTATCAACTGATGGGTACTACTAATATTGCACTACAGTATGTAGTTTTCCAGATTGAATACATCTGTTTTAGCCTTGTTGGCTTTCATCTGTGCATTGTATAGAAATCACTGCTTCTGTGCAATAGGGCTTGGGGAGCAATATGAAAGAACACTAGATATGATAAGCTAAGGTGGGTTTAGCTAATTTCCGTGCACCTTCCAGCCACTTTGGGTGGATTCCTAATCAGTTGATTGGGAACCTGTACTGCTGGCTCCTGCACAGAGAGAGTGAGCTGCCAGTGACAGATTAGTCACTGTGCTGGGAGCACTCTTTCAGCACACAACCTTGAACTCCCATGAACACATACAGTTAGGGTCCATATATATTTGGACACAGGCAAAATGTTAGTTTTTTTCAGGTATTTGCCAAAACATGTTCGAGCTATAGTTATATTATGGATATGGGCTGAAAGTGCACACTCTCAGGTTTATTTTGAGGGTACATATATCCAAAATGGAGGAAGGGTTTAGGAATTACAGCTCTTATGAGTAGCCATCCCCCCTTTTTCAAGGGACCAAAAGTAATTGAACAATTGAATCAAAAGCTGTTTCATAGCCAGGTGTGGGCTACTCCTTCGCTATTTCTTCATCAATTAAGCAGGTAAAAGGTCTGGAGTTAATTCTAAGTATGGTATTTGCATTTGGAATCTATTGTTGTGAACCTACATCATGCGTTCAAAGGAGCTGTCCATGCAGGTGAAACAGACCAACAGGCTTCAAAAACTAAACAAATCCATCAGAGAGATAGCAGCAACATTAGGAGCCAAATCAACAGTTTTGTACATTCTGAGGAAAGAAGAACGCACTGATGAGCTCAGCAACATAAAAAGGCATGGACATCCATGGAAGACAATAGTGGTGGATGATCGCAGGACCCTCTCTATGATAAAGAAAAACCAATTCACAACATCCAGACAAGTGAAGGACAGTCTCCAGGATGTGGGCGTACCATTGTCCAATCGAGAGAAGACTTCATGAGAGAAAATACAGAGGATTCACCACAAGGTACAAACCATTCATAAGCCTGAAGTATAGAAAAACCAGATTAGACTTTGCCAAAAAGCATCTAAAAAAGCCAGACCAGTTCTGGAAAAGCATTCTTTGGATGGATGAAACTAAGATTAATCTGTACCAGAATGACTGGAAGAAAAAAGCGTGGAGAAGGCACACAACGTCATCTGTAAAACATGGTGGAGGCAGTGTGATGGCATGGGCATGCATGGCTTCCAGTGGCACTGGGTCATTGGTGCTTATTGATGATGTGACAGAAGCAGCCAGATGAATTCTGCAGTGTTTAGAGATACACTGTCAGCCCCAGATTCAGCCAAAGGCAGCAAAGTTGGTTGGACAGCTCTTTACAGTACAGATGGACAACGATCCAAAAGACACTGTAAAAGCGACCCAGGAGCTTTTGAAGGAAAAGAAGTGGAATATTCTGCAATGGCTGAGTCACTCACCTGATCTCAACCCAATTGAACATGCATTTCACTTGCTGAAGGCAACACTAAAGGCAGAAAGACCCACAAACAAAGGAAAACTGAAGACCTCTGCAATTAGAGCCTGGCAAAGCATCAGAAAGGAGGAAACCCAGTCTTTGGTAATGTCCATGGGTATTTAAAATCAACATTTTATTTATGATTATATTCATTTATCCAATTACATTTGAGCCCTTGAAAATGGATGGACTGTGTATAAAAATCATTGCAGTTCTTAAAATGTGTACTTGATATTTATGTTCAACCTCTTGAATTAAAGCTGAAAGTTTGCACTTCAAATTCATTTGGATTGTTTCATTTATTCTGGTGGCATACAGAGAGCCAAAAGTACGGAAATTGTGCCTGTGTCCAAATATATATGGACCTAACTGTATGTGTACATCAGCTGAGCATTAGGACCCACCCTTCCTGTCACTGCATATATGCATTACAGAGGTGGGAAGAGGTTGAAGGAATTAAAATGCCATGCATTCAGGGAGCCTTACCCCTTTGTGGCCCACAAATGTGGTACTGGTAAAGAAATTCTACTTCTATTTCTTACTTATGTTGCATTGTTAACAAGAATTGTATAACGCAACTTATAATTAGTGACATTTACCCGTCACCTGGCAAGTAGTTACCATGAGCAGCACAAAAGGTGAGTGAGCACCACGTGTGTTATGAGACGGTCTCACTATCCTAGAGAGTTTCATGCCCCCTTTACATTTTCCTATTATATAAACATCACTTTAATTCACATTACACAGGGCCTTTCTCCTAATTATACCTGAAACTGTGTCTGTGTTATTGCTTCTTCCTGAACTCCTCTATTTATACACCTACACATTATTTACTTGCAGGAAGCAGTTGGAGAAACCCTCGAAGAGCTATGGATTTCATACAATTTAATTGAAAAATTAAAAGGAATTCATGTCATGAAAAAGCTGAAAGTACTCTATATGTCCAACAATACAGTGAAAGACTGGGGTAGGTGAATTCAGAATATGAGATAAGTGAATTCTGAACACAGGTTTTCTATAAGTAGAAATGCTGGACAGATTTCAAGCCTTAGTCACAGTATTTTATCTCAAATGTCCAAGATATATGTTTTCATTCAATCATATCTGTTGTTGGGGTTCTGAATATTACTGATGAGAAGTTGGGGACACAGCTAAGTATCTGTGCTGCAGTATTGTATGATAATAGGTAAGTGATGCCTGAACAGGCATAGAGAAAAATAAATCTATAAAATCAATTGTTGTAAGGATTCTGCTGAGTGGTTGTCTTTCATAGTGTACAGAGGACAGAAAATGGAAAAAACCTGGAAATCATCTTGTTGCGCTTTAGAAATAATTTTTTTTCCTCCATTATTCATGCTTCTACTTAACTAGTAGCAGTTACTTAAATTCATTTGAAATGTATGTTACAGAGCAAGTCCAGATGGATCTGACTATTTACTCCTAGCTGTGCCATGGCCAGGATAAATTAGAACCTTCACATTGCTTCATATTGCTTTTAGTACAGTTGTAATTGACTCCAGACTACAGCTTAATAAAGAATACCCAAGCAAATGTGCAAAGGGCTCATTCAAATGTCAACATATGGCACATCAACACATGGGAGTTGTTTATTAAAGGTGGAGAGTGCAAAATCTAGTGCAACTCTGCATAGAAACCAATCAGCTTCCAGGTTTGTCAAAGGTAAAGTGATTCTAAAGGCTTATTTTATTTTAATTTTTTTTTTAAATTACATACATGTCTATACTTACTTGCAGTGTTCAGTAGTTTTGCACAGAGCGGCCCCAGATCCTCCTCCTCTCAGATTTGCCGCCAGCACACCTGGCCCCTCTCTCCTGTCGAGTGCCCTCACAGCTAGCAGCTTGCTATGGGGGCACCTACTGCTCCGTGTGTCCATTCACACACGGAGCCGTGGCTCGGCCCCACCCCCTCTCTCTCCTCATTGGCTCACTGGCTGTGACTGACAGCAATGGGAACCAATGGCTCCCGCTTCTGTCTCAGCCAATGAGGAGACGGAGTCCTAGGATAGCCGAGACTCCAGCGCACATCGCTGGATCGAGAGGGGGCTTAGGTGAGTATTAGGGGGCGCTGGGGGGGATGTTTTTCACCTTCATGTATAGAAATCTTTAGAACCGCTTTAATTGAACAAGCTGCAGTTAGAAGCTGACTGGCTACCATGCAGATCTGCACCAAATGCAAAGGTGCGTGTCTATTCTTTTTTTAATCGCACCCCAATGTGCATACATGTTCAAAACGATACTAATCAGACCCTCACTGCGTTGCTTTGTGGTGTTCTGGGAAAAAAGTGAGGTGTGTTTTTTGATTGATGGATGCATGTTGATGGCCCATAAAAAATTAAAGGGCATGTTCAATGTGGCATACATTTTGCCACAAAGCATGCGCACAAGTGTAAATGGGTCAAAAACAAGTAGTAATGGATTTCATGTGTACATTCGATTTCCCTAGCTGGCAAATTTTGATTATGCAGTGTATGTTGGTTGAATTCTGGGGTGTTTTAAATCACAGATTGAATTATGTCCTTTTGTACCTTTTCAGCGGAATTCTCCAAACTGGCTGATCTGCCATGTTTGGAGGACCTGGTGTTTGTGGGAAATCCTCTAGAGGAGAAACACACACTGGAGGGAAATTGGGTGGATGAGGCAACAAAACGTGTTCCTAAGCTGAAGAAACTGGATGGTGAGTATTAAACTTCAACAAGTCATTGCAAAAATAAAACCAAAAATTCTGGAGCAAATTCAGCATGCACAACAGTGTTTTTCTACCACCGGCCCACTGCTGGGCCACAATTTTCCTCCTACTAGACTGTACAACTTTCCTACAGTGTCAGGCAAAATGTTGGACAGGCAAGGCTGGTGGCGGCAGATTCACTAATGGGAGCAATGTCCACTTCTTAAAGTCCCAGTTAGCTGCTTCATTCACTCAGCAGGCTGTGTGCAGATTGCACTTCATTAGCTCCTTTCCTGGCCACAGGAAAGTGACACTTGAAACCAGAAGTGAGGTTATACATGTTACTTCTAGGTTCTTTGCATCTAGGTGAGATCAACAAATGGACATTCACTGGTTTCTCTCTCATTCACCCCGCCATGCAGGATCAGAGCCTGCAGGTGGGACAGTGAAGCCTGGAAAGCATGGGGGGCACACTTCCAGGGGTCAGAGAAAGTGAACAGATGGTTGCACAGCTGCCCCGATCACTTTCATCAGAAAGATGACAGTCAGCTTGTGAAAGATACACAATCTCAGCTTTCGTAGGATTGACCTGCATCCTAGTAACTAATCACACACACTTGTCAAAAAGCAAAGTTGGACAGCTTCCACACTCTGTCCCGACCTCTCCTTCCAGCCCTCTGTCATGCTGCCTTGAAGCTGTGTATGGTAGGACTGAAGGGGGCTGTGCTATAAAGGATCTGAGTAATAGCACAAAAGTGAGATTTGGACCTTTGCTGGACTGCTGGAAAAAAAATACTGACCAATTTACTGAGGAGACCTCCATGAATTTTAATTCCATACCCCTGTGCTAGAGGATCCCTATACCTCAGGGTGTAGGGACATAGTTCCAGGATGCTGGTCCAATAATCAAGCTCCCTGGATCAACAGGGTATCCAGGACTCTTCCCCAGCATGATAAGCTGGCATCTGAGGATCTTCAGGAAGACAGGAAAGGAGGACAACCCCTGATTCCAGTGCTGGATTTCTAAGCCATTAGTCTGACCAATGACTTGATTTGCTTGTCCATAATGAGAGAATGTTGCATTGTAGAGGCCTGAGGTGAAATTTGGCAAAGAGAACTGTCTCGAAGGGGGCTACGATCAGATCCAAGACTTGCATTCAAAAGTGGAGAGTCAGGCAACTGGAAAGCTTGAATCTAAGGCTAGTCCCAGATACTCTAAGACTTTGTTCCAACAGCCATGCTGAAGCATATGTCTTTGCAAGAGCCATGTTTGCCTGCACAGGTGTTGTGTGCATCCCCATAAGGCAGTCCCATTCATGCCAGTTGGGACTTAGTAGCTGCACAGACACAGCCGGTGCTCCCAATTTGACATCTGTGTGAGTGCATGGCCCCAAACACAGACCGTGTCTGCGTTCAGGGCCATGCACCCGCACAGCTATCAAATTGTATCTGTGTAGTTGCTGCATTCCTATTGACATGAATGGGACTGCCATACAGGGCACCTGTGCATCACTGTGCAGGCAAACACGACCCTTGCAATGGTGTGTGCTACAGTACATCCATGTGAATGAGGTCTAAATGATGAGTTGGTCCCAACGCTGGCAACCCTCACTATTCCTTCAATATGAGGTCATCTATCCCACTGTGGAGATGCAATGAGAGCACAGTAAGCTTAAGGTGCAGAGGAGAGTAGTGTAGTAGTTGCCTTAGTTCACAGTGGGAGGAAATCCCCCCCCCCCCCCCCTTCCTTTTTTTTTTTCAACAAAATACTTCCCAAATAGGTACAAGGCTAATAAGCTCTTGGGTGAAAAACATGGTATTTCTTAAGAAAGAGAGAGAGAGAATTGGAACAGTGGGTGCAATGGGAAAGTATTTCCAGTCTTGGATCCCAAAGCTGCAAACAGCACTGGTAGCAGCAACAAGCTAATCCTCCAGTATCATAGTAATGTTCACCACAATAAGAGCTGAAACTACCTTTTTTAACTTGGTAGTAATAGCAGTGGACTGCAAGCTCATCAGGTTAACACTGGAGCATCACAGAATCACAGTTTCAGGGCCTGAGTGCTTTGTAGCCACTAAGGCCGTGGGTAGATCAGATACAGAAATTGCTGGAGAAGGAGCAGGCGTACATGCTTGTGTCCTCTGTGGCCAGAGTAAGCAAATAACTGAGTGATTTGGGTCATAAAGTCTTCCATGACTAGTAAATACCTCAGCCAAAAGGGCAGATGAATAGGCTAGTCCCGCTGGAGTCAGAGGACTATGCTTTAAAGAATAGACTTTAGGATTTCAGGCCGCAGATGATCATACCAGCAAGAGGCACACTGCAAACCCCCAAGAGATTACTAGAGTGCAGACTGGGGGACCTATTCTAGTGGGACTATGCACCAGAGGGATTATGTTGCAATTGTGTGGCATTAAGGCAACTTAAGACTTGGGGTATGAGGCAAGGCCTCAGGTACTCACAAACCCAAACAGCTGGTAACAGGTGAGGGTCAGATGACGGGAGATGACAAAACTACTGTAGATGGGAAGCGGGAACAGAAGTTCTACATGGCTCTTTACAAGCAGGAGCAGCGGGGAGATGCTTCCTTGACACTGTATAGTGGGAAATAGAGCATGACACTCCACCCAGAAGATATAAGTGTTCAGTTAACTGTTAACTATTTCTGTGATTCAAACCAATGGGGAACACAGAATTTTTTTGTAAGCACCCAGTGACCTATGTACTTCAGGTAGCTCCTGGTGTTCAGCCAAACCGTCTGATTCACGAAGCGAGACAGGGCAAGCACTGAGTCCTTGCCAGTGGCTCTGAACCTGGAAAGCACTCTCTGGCTAACTTGTTGGCGAAGAGAATGCATTCTATGAAAAACTCAGTTCCAAAAGGTTACTTCTAGGCTATCCCCGATATGTCTAATCCAGCAAAGTTCAGGAGTGTCACTCCAAAAGCCAGGATGAGGACAGTTGTGCCGAAAACGCTGTGATTGAAGTGACAAGCTCCAGTAGTGATGTATAGAAGCAGCTTGATTGAAAAAGAAAATAGCTTGAAGAGTAAGAAAAAATATTGCTAACAAAATTGGCTACTCTCCATCCTCCTAAGGCACTAAAAAAAAAAACCCCATGGTATGCTGGCAGCAGGAGGGATTATCCTGGGCTGCTCTACAGATTTTTTTTTTTTTTTGTGTGCCAGTGTCCATTCCTCCTTCTAGGTAGACAATATGCCCCCAAGGTAAAAGACTTTCTGTGTGCCCCCAATGGATAAGAAAAAAGCAAGTATTTTATTTTTAAAAATGGTAATAGTTTGTTACATGGTGCTTTAGCATCTAAAAGTCATTCATTTAAGGTTTACATCTACTTTAAAAATATTAGGTCATGATTTGTGCATTCGTAATGGAGTTGGTCACAGCTTTAATCAGATTGTGGTCTTGTTTCATTGTGTGGTCAGTATTCACAAATCATTTCTCTGATTGCTTTGTGTAGAGAAAGCACACATCAAAATCTTATCTACGTGATACTGGAATATCACTGTTCTATTGTAACAATTGTGTTTTAAGACAGTCACACAGTTTATGTAAGGTAGTGCAACTGGCAAAGAGGATGCACACAGTTCAGTGGCCCATATTAACCTTACTGCTCCATCATTGTACAGCCGTATTGTCAATCCCCAATCTCTTATCTACATATTTTATTGTCTTACCTGGGTATGACATGACCACATAAATACAGCCTTCTAACCCTTTCATCCTTTTTGTTATTTTCAGGAAATCCCGTCATTAAGCAAGAAGATGAGGAGGGAGATGATTCGTAATTTTTTTTTTTTTTTCATTTTCCTTTTAAATTATTTAAACCGTTCCAAAACAGAAATGGTTTTTTATAAACATTTTTGTATATTTAATACTTTTTTTCAATAGTTTCCTTTTCTATGTTTTAAATTATCATGGATGCAAAGCATTATTTTAAGTGTGACCTCTATCTTGGAGGGATCAGTCTGAGCATACGATAAGAAGCGGTTCTGTTATTTTTATCGAAATAGAAGGAAACTATAGAGTGGTGTGAACAAGCACAAGGGGACACGATCATTCCATAGGGTATTGATATTTATATGATGTATCCATTCCTAATACTGTAGCGTAATCTAACCATGAGGAGGTATGACTTCTTTTTTTGTACTTTAGCAATCACCAGCCTTTCTCCAACGTAGACTTCTCCTGTGTTAATCCTTGTTAACTGATAATCTGGAAATTGGTTCAGTACTAAAATAGTTGCCATCCTTTTATATGCTAAGAGAAGCACATTACAGGGTAAGTCCACCTAATACAGACATTTCAGCATTTTATGGATGCAGAGTATTGGCTACATTACTGTCTCTGAGGATATCAGCAGTGAGATGTATTACCACTTATGTTCCCAATTCCACACCTCTTTGCTGTTATTGATATTCAGAGTTTATTAGTAGTTTTTTTTTTTTCCATAACATTTCTTAACATTTGAAACAAGTTGAACCACCAGGTGCGCCTCTGAGACCTGGCTATGACTGTATTTGGTAATCAAAGCCTTGGGTCTTCCACTCTAGACCAGGGCAAATATAGGAAGCTAGTGGTGGGTTCATTTCTTGTCATCTACCTTGGCATTAAATATCTGGCTTAGGTGGACTTACATTTTAATTATATCCTTGAAGTGCACAAACATTTTATATTCCTTGTAGAAGTATATAGAGCCATATACTAGAGTTTACAATACTACAGAGTTTAAGATTATTTTTTTTGAGACAGAAATGTGAGAAAAAGGCATTCCCAGTCATGTGAGCAGTAGCTTTGAATATCAGGTATGTTTTATTTTTGTATTTATAGCTAGTACTAACTGCATTATTTCTATGAAGGAGGTTCAGGTGGAGGCCCACTGGAAGAGTGTGGGGGGAAAGCCAAGTTTACATGTGTGGAATAGATGGAGCACTGCATTCCTTTATGGTCACTCAAATCTCCCTACTCAGCAAATCTTAAGATATCAGTCACATAAGGAGTGTATTGTTAGCAGTGAGTTGCCATACTTCTCTTTGCACTGTGAGATGAAACAGTAAGGCACAAGCATTGTGTAACACTTAATAGACAGAAGAGCCTTTCTGTATAATGAGAAAATGTGGCTACCTCAAAGTTCATGCGTTTTTCTGATTTTTTTTTTTTTTTTTACCTTGCTAAAAACGCAAGAAAAATATTTTCCCTAAATCCACTTCACACCACTGCGCTGTGGGTGGTGTGCACTTTGAAAAGTGCGCTTTCCAAAACTGGAGCAAAAACTCAGATCTGCATTGAAACTAATGAAAAGCACAACAAAAATGCACCACTGTTGTGCATTTTTTGAGGCAGATGTCCATTTTTCACAGGTGCATGCCAAGTAGGAAGCGCACCAGAAATGCAACGCAGAACACTCTCCCATTGGCCTCCCCCAGAGCCCTTGTATAGAGTACTTATTCATTATGTTCTAGTGTGGGACAAAAATGTGTGCTGTGTTTGTGAATGGTTGTATTTTTCAAATGCCATGTTTATGTCAGTGGAACAGAACAGATTGTCTGTCTCAAGTACCAAAGCTGGTCAATGGAGCATTTCTTCCTGCATTGTATTGATAATGTCCTACTCTTTTTCACTGTTACGATTTGAAGCCTGGTCAGCACAATGAAAAGTGTGAGTACACCTGTGTGACAATAAAAGTTAATTCTCTATTTCATTTTCCGAGTGCTCTTTCAAGTGCAGTTTACTGCGGAACTTAACCCCTTCTGTACAGAGGGTAAAACAAATCCCAATGCCTGAACACAGTTTTGCAACTTTGATATTCGTTAGTAAGGTCCCTTTTTCACATGGGGCGGACCCATCAGCAGATCTGCTTGCTCAGCGGGGAATCTGCTGATCCCCACTGAGCAAGCAGATGACAAGTCCACGTCTGCTCCGCTTATGCAGAACAGACACAGTCCTCTATCCTCTTTGAGCAGTCGGATGGAAACGGACCGCCTGTCCATTTCCATCTGAGGGACGGAAGGGGAACAGATCCCCATCTGTCTCTTTTTGGTGGATTGGATTGTATTGGATGTAGGCAGGTGTAAATTGACACGTCAGTTTACACATCCCTCCACAGAGGAGAATAGAGTTCCGATCAGGTCTGCCAGGAAGGCGGACCAGATCAGAATGTCCATGTGAAAGGGGCCTAAATCTGTACATATCCTCACAACTACTTAGTGGATCGAGACTTGTTTTTTTTCCCCAGGACAAATTAGGCCTACAATTGGTGGTAAATGGTAATTGATAGAAAACAAAAATCAAGCCATATCTAAGGAAAGCTGTTTTAAAAAAAATTATATTTTCAGTATTTTGGAATTTAGTTGTATATTTCTTCCTATTACCATAACCTACCACAAATGAAAAACCCTAAATAAATTCTTCTGCTCCTGCCAATTGCAGTGACAACACCTATAATATATTGCCAAAAGTATTGGGCCAGCCCTCCAAATCATTGGATTCAGGTGTTCCCATCCCCTCCATGGGCACAGGTGTATACAGTCAAGCATCTATGCATGCAGACTGCTTCTACAAACATTTGTGAAAGAATAGGTCACTCTCAGGAGCTCCGTGAATTCAAGTGTGGTACCATGATAGGTTGTCACCTGTGCAATAAGTTCATCTGTGAAATTTCCTTGCTACTAAATATTCCACAGTCAACTGTTAGTGGTATTATAACAAAGTGGAAGCAACTGGGAATGGCAGCAACTCAGCCACGAAGTGATAGACCACATAAAATGACAGAGCGGGGTCAGCGCATGTCTGCAGAGTCAATAGCTAAAGACCTCCTAACTCCTCCTAAACTAAGTGTGGCCTTCAGATTAGCACAACTACAGTGTATAGAGAGCTTCATGGAATGGGTTTCCATGGCTAAGCAGCTGCATCCAAGCCTTACATCACCAAGTGCAATGAAAAGTGTCAGATGCAGTGGTGTAAAGCACATGTTCTCTGGAATGACAAATCACACTTCTCCATCTGGCAATCCAATGGATGAATCTGTGTTTGGCGGTTGCCTGACTGCATTGTGTAAAGTTTGGTGGAGGGGGAATTATGGTGTGGGGTTGTTTTTCAGGGGTTGGGTTTGGCCCTTTAGTTCCAGTGAAGGGAACTCTTGAGGTGTCTGCATACCAAGACATTTTGGACAATTTCATGCTCCCAACTTTGTGGGAAGAATTTGGGGATGGCCCCTTCCTGTTCCAACATGACTGCTCACCAGTGCACAAAGCAAGGTCCATAAAGACATGGATGAGCGAGTTTGGGGTGGAGGAACTTGACTGGCCTGCACAGAGTCCTGACCTCAACCCGATCAAACACCTTTAAGATGAATTAGAGTGGTAACAACGAGCCAGGCCTTCTTATCCGACATCACAAATGTGCTTCTGGAAGAATGGTCAAACATTCCCATAGACACACTCCTAAACCTTGTGGACAGCCTTCCCAGAAGGGTTAAAGCTGGTATAGCTACAAAGGGTGGGCCAACTCAATATTGAACTCTACAGACTAAGACCCATGCCATTAAAGTTCATGTGCGTTTTGAAGGCAAGTGTCCCAGTACTTTTGTCGATATGGTTGTATGTTACTTCTTGTTTGTAGTTGTAATAGGGCCCAGAAACAATAGTGCGCATATCCTACCTAAAACACACTGATATAGATAATAATTTAAAATGCTGACTCTGACCTTTTTACCCCAGCTCTAACTCTGCCACTGGCTTAGATCAAACCCTGTTCCTATTTTTTTTTTCTCCACGCCTATGTTTTTATTTACATTTTCTCCTTTTAGCAGGAGAGAAATGTAATGTTTTTTTCCTCTCCATTCAAGAGAAGAAATGAACACAGAGGTGGGCTGCAGTGCAGTGTGACTGAGGCTATCAGAGCGATCAGGTGATGGGAAACTGGCTTCTTATCGTTAGTACAAGACTGGGGCTGTCGGTGAAAGCTCAGTCCCTGTGCTGGACGCATGCTGTGTGATGCACTTTCAACACAAACACATATATGTGGCCTTACAGTAGAAGAGCCGCTTCTGTGAGGCTGCATATATGTGTACACGCAGTGGGAAGGGGTTAACTGCATCTGAGTACAAACTGAAAACAATTTAATTTGTTTTTAATATTCAAAGCAAACTCCCCCCATCCAAAACAAGACCTGTAAATATAACATACCTTCCAATCTATTTACTAATTCTAGCAGTGTAAGGATTGAAAATAAAATCCTTAATATTGATTGAGAGAGTTTAGTTCTGCTTTAGGGATGGCATTTTTAAACAGGAACTTCACCCTCTTGATCAACATTATTTTTAATCCTTATGCTGCTAGCATTAGTTTTTTTTTTTTAAGTTACATTTTTATTGTGCAAAACTAGAAATCTTACAAAAAAGGAAATGATCCAAAACGCAGAGGTGGATCCAATAACACTGAACAATCAGAGCAGAATGAATCGCAGCGTATTGCGAGTACAGAAAGGATAAATGAAGACCAAGCTTATTCGGAATGTAATAAAAGGGTGGCAATGAGACCAAATATATCTACCTAGCGGGAAGAAGCAGGGCCTTGCTTATGTACTTTGTATTTTCCAAGGTAGAACTTGAAAGAAAGAAAACCCAACTAAGAACACAAGTCAGTAGCACTGCAATAGTGCCCCATATTACTAGCAAGCCATTAGCCAACTGACACATGTCAAATTAAAGCATGGAAACAGAGATGGGTGAGTTTGCATTGAATATTAAAAATTAATTTAATAGTGTTTTTGGTTTGTGGCGCTCAGA